TCTCGGTTCTTCTTCTTTATCTTTAGTACTATCTGGTACAGAACCGCTAGCAGTTTCATACGTCCTTTTGTTAGAACTAGATTCTGCCTTTTCCTTCAAAGGAAAAATATTTTCGAAGAATATAGCATTCCTCGACTCAATAGTGGTACCAACCGATACCTCCGGATTTTCTGATTTATGAACCAGAAATCTATATGCAGTACTATTGTATGCATATCCAATAAAAATACAATCGACCGTCTTAGGTCCGATTCTCAATTGTTTTGGTTCAGGAACTGAAACCTTAGCCAAACACCCCCACACTTTCAGGTACTTATAAGACGGCTTACGATTTTTCCACATTTCGTAAGTAGTCTCATTTTTCCGTTTAGGTGGTATTTTATTCAGAATATGATTTGCTGTTAAAACAGCTTCCCCCCACATATTCTGGGGTAATCCTGAATTTATCAACATGGCATTCATCATCTCTTTTAAAGTTCGGTTCTTGCGTTCAGCAACACCGTTCGACTGTGGAGAATAGGGGGCCGTCGTTTGATGAATTATGCCATATTCAGAACATATTTGTTCAAAAGGAGCTACATACTCCCCACCCCTATCACTTCGGATTATTTTAATCTTTTTGCCGAGTTGATTTTCAACTTCGGTCTTAAAATTTCTAAAAGCTTCCACAGCCTCGTCTTTGCTTCTTAAAAGATATAAGTAGCAAAATCTTGTGCAATCATCAATAAAAGTTATAAAATATCTTTTACCCGTTCTTGTTTGCACAAACTTCAAGTCACATACATCAGTATGGATTAAACTCAACGGTTCAGTATTTCTTTCACCGAGTGAAAAGGTAATTTAGCCATTTTGGCTTCAACAAAAATTTCACATTTTTTGTGTGATTCAATTTTAGAATTAGGAATTAATTCTAAGTTCATCAACCGTTTAATTGCATTTAGATTCACATGTCCTAATCTAATATGTCATAAATCAGAACACTCCACGATATAAACAGAAGTACGATTTTCATTATCATTGGAAACGGTTACACGGCTCACAGCCATTACATTCATTTTAAATAAACCATTGTCGAGATAGCCACGACAAGGAATTTACCATACTTGCTAAGAATAAACTTCTTAGCTTCAAACACTAACTTAAAACCATGCTCTACAAGAAGAGATCCGGAGACCAAATTCTTGCGGATGTCTGGGACATGCAGCACATCCTTAAGCTTTAACTCCTTTCCAGAAGTCAGCTTCAGCACCACGATGCCAACTCCAGCCACATCAGACGAGGAGGAGTTGCCCATGTGGAGCTTCCGACCATTTGAAGGAGTGTATTCAGAAAACAACCCCTTGTCGGAACACACGTGGCGAGTGGCACCAGTATCAATGTACCACGCCCTTGGGTTATCCACCAAATTGGCTTCAAACACCACAGCCGACATATCCATGTCGGTTAGTTCACTCGGCACAGGGCCGTGTTCAGCAATGAGGGCACCATGTTGTGCCTTCTTCAGACCAGCCTTTTTAGGCTTCCTGCAGTCCTTAGCCATATGGTTCGGCTTTCCACAGTTGTGGCAATTTCCAGTAAATTT